AAATTCAAGAAAACGGTCAATTATATTTTCGTTAGACTTTGTTGATGTTATATAGCTCAAATTAAAGTTGAAAGTGTCTACTTCAGAATGGGATATATATGGTTCGAAAATAATTACGAGATCGAAAAGGAGATCGAGTATTGAAGAATTGAAAAAAATCAACCCTTGATTCGATCGAAAATGCCTCGATTTTAACAGGAATGTTTCAGTTGAATTTCGGTCGCGTTCCTGGAGGATCTTTTTAACGCGACTTAGCTCAGATTATAGCCCGAAATGTCCACTTTAAGACAGAGTCACTTAGATGGAAGGAACGTTGCGAGATCATTCTGACAAATTGAGATAACGCGACTCCTATCACGATGAAAAATGCCTCGACTTTAACGGTTGAAATCAGGTTGAATTTCCGTTGCGTTCCTGGAGGACTTTTTTAACACGACTTAGCACAAATTAGAGCCTGAAGTGTCCACTTTAAGATAGAGTAACTTTGGTCCATGTAGCACGATGAGATAATTTCGACGAATCGAAAGAACGACAGCACGCGCCGATAATTCGACAAGCGCTATCGTATAATTCCGCTTAAACGTCTGCGGGATTTTTGTTTCGCGCAGCCGGCATCCGGAATGCTCGTCCAAGTTATGAAAGATTACGTTCGCAAAATATTTTACAAACTTCACCGTGGACGACGGGTAGGTGCGCGAAAGCGGGGGCAACGTTTCCATTAACTTTTTACTCTTGCTCACTTTGTGTTTACTCGAGCCGGATTTTTCAGATCCGACTTTCATTCGTTATGCCGCCGTTAATGCACCTTTAATTATAAAAATTTAATTCCGCCGGATGAGTCCACCGGATAATGACCCTTCATTAGGGAAATGAAGTCAACTAAAAGTTTATAACGAAGATTTATCACGGTTTTAGAGGCCCGCCCGCCCGCCGCTATTAAATCTGACAAACGCCCGGCGAGAGAGCGCGATACGGGAAAGTTGCCGAAAATTACGTTCGGAAAATGATCGCGGTTTGAACGCGACAGCTATAATTTTCGCGGCCCCGAAGTTAGCTTGCCGACGGTATATTATCCCGCAGGCAAGTTTTTCAGGCGAATAGAGTTTCCTGGCAAAAAAAGGTTATTATATAATTATATACTATATAATTATTATTATTATATATATTATACTATTATATATTACTATATATTATAATAATAGTATTTATTATTATATTATAATAATATTATATATTATGTTATTATAATAATATAGTATTTATTATTATATTATAATAATATTATATAGATCATATTATATAATTTTACTATATAATATAATATACATATATTATTATATATTGATACATGTATTATGCATGGTATATTATATGATTTTATTATATAATATAATGTTTATATTATTTTTTATTATTTAATATTTACAAATATTTATTATATTATACAATACAAGGTGTACAGTGAAGAATCCGGAAAGTGCTCGCTTCGTGATTTGTTGAATACTTCGAACGCGGCTCGAGTCCGTCCTGACCATCTGTCAAAGCCTCGTGCTGGTCAGTGTTTTCCGTTAATAACTCGTAAACAAAGCCGCAGATTGCATTTTCGCAAAGGAAAAAGTTACTTCAAATGACCTCAGTTACCCCTCATTTTCGACTGTTAAAATAATTGTGGAGCACCCTGTATATTAATATATATTATTATATTATTATATATACAGACATATATAATATATGTATATAAATATACATGAATGAATAAATATAAAAAAAACATTTTTGATAAAATTTGAAGATATTCTTATTATAAAGACAGTTTTTCAAAATGATTCGAACAGGAAGGAACTGTGTTGTCTGCACGCATCAATTAATCTCACGGCTTTTTGTCCGGATTTTTTTTATCCGAAACGAAGATCACATTAACAATATTAAAACGCCCGGTGCATTGTGCGCACCGGGGATATATTTTTAATATTTTTTGTCGCCGGTATAATATCCGCGGTGGAAAACTCCCGGGCAACGGACGCGGTTTTTCTTTTTCAAGAGTAATAAAGATTTTCTAACTTGCTCGACTTGTTTCGGAAAGGATTGAAGATTCCCGCGGGAATTGACGTGTAGTGTACTGCGAGATTGTGGCAAGATGGTTGCCGATGGCAGGCCATTTTTGTCTTGCCGTGGGGCGAGATTGAAGGCGTACCGGGATGAATAGGGGAGAACAAAAATGCATTAGAAACCGTGGACCTCTTTTTCGAGGCGAAACATATTTCATCTTGTAAATGTTCTGAACGCTGAATGGAAAAAAAAGAGAGAAAAGGAAAAAGAACACGCGTAAAATACGAACCGTATTGGGAATCAAGATATGGATTTTATTCGAAAGCATGATATGGAACTCTATTGGAAAGACAAATTTGATTTTTGTTGAGTTTTATTAAATAGCAAAATGTGGATGTTGTTAGAAATTATACTATGCATTTTATTGTAAACAAAAGTATGGATTTTATGAAACCTCAAAATATGGATTTTATTAAATAGGAAAATATGGATTTTATTAAATAGGAAAATATGGATTTTATTACATAGCAAAATATCAATTTTATTAAATAGGAAAACATGGAT